CACGATCTACGAGGTTTGTTATCATTTACGTAGGGCCCACTGGCTCTGCCGCCCTTAAAAAGTAGCTTTATCAGACAAGCGACACACGGATCCCGATGTATATACCAAAAAAGTTAATATAAATAGCTAACTGATGGTACTTGTACGGGATTCGATTCCTGAAAAACCGATCTCCTATAATGAAACGCGAAACAGCTCATAGAAGCTTTTCACCTCGGTTCACCTCGGACCGGGGCCACTGTTGAGTATTTTATACATGCCTTACGCTCAAATTAATCGTCACTACTAAACAAACGCATAATTAAATCGTTGTTAGGAATCATATAACAACATAATGAAATATTAGATTTAACCATTGAGGTTTGTTTAGACTTTTTATGATTTGATGAGATTGTGTGTAATCGTAACTCAATTTTTACCTATATGTTTTTAGGGTGTATTCATTTGCGATTTCTTCTAAAGACATTTTAAAGCTTCAAAAATATTGGTGTATTTAATTTAGACTTTCTGAAACTTTTAAAGGTATTGAGGTATTCATTTGTGATTCTAAAAAGTCTTACAAAATTTTGAGATATTCAACTTATTTGAGTCTATACTTTGTTAAGACTTTTTAAGATTTGCCGAGATTTAAAAAAAAAAAAAAACAAAAATCTCACTCCAAGTTCACATCCGGATTAAGACTTCAAAGAATTCCTCCCAAATCCAAAAATCTTAAAAGGTCTCAAAATGTCACTCAAAATCTGAGATAAAAACACCCCTTTAAAATTTATAAGGACTTTAGTAATTTTTTAATTTTTTTGTAAGAACAAATGGCATTTAAAGAATTAATTATTTATTTAAAAAAAAAAAATAAGTAGACAAAAATAAAAAAAAAAAAAAATTGGTGGAAAAAAATCAAACACACGTATTCCGGGAATACGGTTTCTAAATTAAAACGTATTACAAGAATACGTTTACAGTATATAAACGCATTCGGCGAATACGTTTTACTAAGAAAACGTAATTAAGATAATTAATCTTAATTAACATATAGAAAAACGTATGTGACAAATACGTTTTTTACACGTAAACGTATGAGTGAAATACATTTTAATTAAACCGCATGTTCGGAATACGTTTTTTGGTAAAATTAAAATTTAAAAC